GGGCAATAACTTTTCTCTGACTCAAAGCACTGGAAGACAGGTGAGAAAACTCATTCCTTTGTAAATTATGAAAAACACACAGAGCCAAATTGAACACCCTGCTTAGTAAAGCAACAGAAATAAGAGCTACTTAATTCTGATAAGTATTTGATGTATGTTGTTGAGAATTCTTAAAAGATGTTAATCCAAGAACAGTTACTTGCTCTCACAAAGGAGATCTTCCCAGTCCCACAATTTCCACTAGCAGGCACAGGAGGGATGTGCTTAGTTCCATTTATCAATTAGTTCAGTTCTACTCACTTATTCACAATAAAACAATCAAAATTAATGATTGAAGGGAGCTTAGAAAGGGCAGGTGAGAGCTGGAGTCAACTTCTAAAGACTAAAGAAAGCAAATTAAAACAATGGTGAAATGGGAACAGCAGCTAATCATAAATACAAACCTAAAGTCAGAGTACAGCTTCAGTGAAGTTTCTCTACCCCGACATGTTGCCTTTAGCTGAAGACAAATTGCCAGCATTTTTGTAATCTACTACGTTAAAGTCATTACTCTGACAGTGCCAGGAAGTCTAATTTCCTGGAGCAGTAACACAAAGATTTATAAGTGGATTTAAACACTCACCTTCTGGAATAGAAAATCTATCATCAGCATCAGGCTACAATGGAAAGCAATGAGGATTTCAGATAATGGAGAAGGAAAAAATTCACCTGCTGACAAGTTCACCCAAAATCTAATTCCCTACCTACACAGGCTGCTGACCAGGGTAAGCATACATACAAAGCTGAACTTTCAAATAAGTTCACCTTTCTGTGAAGTCCCTGCTGCAAGAAAACAGACTTGTCCAACTATAAGCAGCTTTGGCACTAGTTCAGTATTTTTACTCAACTCTCTCCTAAACTTACATTGCCATAAAAATGGAAGTAACATCAAAATGGAAAAGAATAAAAAAAAAAAAAACCACCACTTTAATAACAAGATTTAATGGAGAAAATGAGTTAGCTCATCCACCAGGATGAAACCTACCTGCACATGCCTCCTTAGGGCTGAAAACTTTCAACTCCCTAATGAGATAAACTGAAATCATAGCTGATCTTCAACACCCAAAGCACCTTAGAGTATCTACTTTTATACCATTAGATGTGCCTGTGTGCATAAAGAAGCCACGAGATTTGCTTAAACCAAATAGCACAGAGGTTTGGATTTAATTAGGAATAACCTGCTGATTCCATATAAAAAGCTGATCTGCTCTTCTGGACTCTCTCCTCCCATGTTCCAGCACTGAAGAACAGAGGTGGAGAATACACCACCTTCACATCAGGAGGATTAAAAGTTACAACCTTTGTAACATCTTCAGAGGGCTGATGCACATCAATGCTGATTCTTTTCAGAAAACCCTCCTGCTTCACTGGAGGGCATCTGAGACACTGCTTTCCATGGCACAGGTCTGATTAATCCTGATCTTCCCCTCAGTGCACGAGCCTCCTGTCACTACTCCTGCTTCACAATAAGGACTCTGTGACCAAAGCAGAGGAACTGCACCATGCTATGTATTTGTTGTGTACACAGGAGAAATCAGCATTCGCACTGTGGTCGTGCAGAAGAACACGCTGCAGAGGAGACAGCCAACACCACTATCAGTGACCTACTTCATATGGGGAAGGGATTTTAGCAAGAGTTGTCTTCCCCCCTCACAGAAGCAGTAATTTTTGAAAGTACTAAATTGAGCAAGGTCCTGAGCACAGCATTCCTCATTTCTTGTCAGTTCTGTCCCCCTTCTCATATGGTTCTATACAAGGTATTACCACTTCAACCAAAGATTTATCCTTCGTTTCTCTCTGGCTGCCAGAAAAAAAATAGACTCCTATGAACAAAGAGGAAAGAAGAAGCTTCTCTTCCACAATTTTCCTCATGAGGACAGTAGTACTCTGGACACTGCCAGTGCATATATGCTTTTTTAATATCAGATGAGATGGCCTCTGAAAGCACTGCAAGTTCTCCCGACTGGCATTATCCACTTTACCACAGATAACAACCCTGAACTGGAAGCTTCCACTGCCACAATTTCTAGCACATAAAATTATTAAAGGCTTAGAAATGGTTTCAGGGCTTTTCAAATGCTGTGCTGCAGCAAAATCCAATTCCCATTAAAAAACCAAGAGTAATCAGAAGGAGAGTCTACTTCATCACTCTGAAAAAGAGAATTACCTTCATTCATTCATTCCTGTCCAGAACAAACATATTCCAAGAAAAAAAAAACCACACTAGTTTTTAAAGTAGGCAATAATTCACAAGACCCTTTGGACTGCTCAGGATATGCAAGTGTTCCTAGGCTGTCTTCAACAAAGACTGGAAAAACCTCCCTAGCTCCTCAACTACAAAAAGTTTCTGGGTTTATGATTTTTTGCTACAAAACAAGTAGAGATGTGTGTGATTAAAGTAATTTGGAGACCAAGCAAAGTTTCCAGAGATGACAAAAAACAGTTCTGAGCCGATTCACTGCTTCTAGTTTGCAGTTTTTCAAGAGATAACAAGCACCCTATCTATTAAGCTCACTTATTCCTTTTACAGGGAAGTCATGATGTCAAATTCTTCAAACCTCACCTATAGATCCACCAGGTAAGCATGTTGACTATAAGATTACAGGAAACATAGTAACACTGCACCCCAATATTTGTGAACTACCCCAATGTTAATGTGCTGCATTGCATGAACAACTCTTATTACTGCAGTTTCATTTGCCCACAAAGATTCCAGCTGAAAATTCACTTTAATATGGCTTTAGTTATACAAGAGATTAATCTATAATTGTTGATTTTTGAAATATCATTTCATTGTGTCACTCAAACTGAGTACTTCTGATCATTAAAACTTGCATGAGTTTTTAATCTTTGTAACGAGGTACTCCTTCAGCTGAGTGCTGATCTCATCAGAGCAAATTATACTCTAAAGCATACATCTGACCAGAGCTTTTAAAGGTTTTAAAACTGCAATTTTATTTTGTTATCTTACCAAACAATTCAAAGTCCTAGCGATCTTGTCAGAACCTTTAGTATCCAGGAAGTCTCATGTAAACTAGATTCTTAGCAGGAAACTACTAGTAAAGAACAAAAATGCATTACTGAATTCATTTTTTACTTTTAGCACACAAATGAACAGTTTCTCATGTCTTTTTCCATGTCAAAGGGCTGCTTTCAAAAAGCTGGGGGATTAACCTCCTGACCTAATCTAGCATGAGATATGTAGTCACACTAAAATCTATTCATCTTAGATTAAATGAGGGTATCTTGAAATTATCAAACAAAACATCTTGAAGAGCATGTAACTTCTAGCAACAGAATGTAATAATGAGCTGTGTAAGCTCAGAGAGACAGAGACAGATACATCTCCCATCAGATATTCCACAACACTTCTACCATTAACAGAGCCACATATTAAGATTTTTATCTTAAAGTTATATGACGCCCATTTCTTTGCAGAAATCCTTGATATCCATCTTTTCCTTTTAGTGGCACCCACACTCCAATCACATTTCAAAAGGAAGTGCTGAAGCCCTTGCTTTATTTTGCATTCCTTTTTTTCTGCATCCTTAAGATGTCTCCTTGCTCTGCAATGTAATCAACACACAGCCCTGAACTGATGATGGCATTAAAGTGAAGGTTGGTTACAATTTTCCTGCAGCTCTCCACACAGGATGTCACTGCACCTTCTGAGAGGTGCATTAGTACCTTTTGCAGTAATGCACATGAAAACTGGTGTTTAGATACGAGCCCAGAAGTGGTATCCATCATAGATGGTATCCATTGTAAAGTGTCTGTAAATAGATTAGATCCATCTATATAGTAGGATTAGTTTGTGTATCATAAGACCTTCACTGCCCATGAATTTCAGTGAGTGCAGCACTTAACACGTATAACTATTGTACCATTAGTGACTACCAGTACACTTCTAAGGAGGTTAGAGATGGCCTCTGTTGCTGCCCTCAGTTAATAGTAAGGAAACTGAAGCACAGATTAGTTGACACGATCAAGGTCACTGAAGTAGCATAATGCAGGTATCCCAAGTCCAAGGATCTTGTGGGTCACACTGGCTCTCCAAAATTGTACAAGCAGCACAGGAAGAGTTTAATATTTTCCTTCTGAAGTATATTCAGGTAGTTCTGGGTATTCACAGATCATTAAGGTGAGGGTGCTTTGGGAGAGCTTTTCCTGCAAGGCTCAGTTCACCGGGTGGCACCGCAGCAGTTGCCATGACAATGGCTGAATCTTTGCAATCACATTGTACACACTTCAAATGGAAACCTGTGAAGGTCTCAAAACACTATCCAGTGCTGTAAAAAGTCTGATGAGATCCCAAATCACCTCCTAATCTTCAATTAGTAAGAGTGCCACACATGCAGGAAGGGAATGTGGATCACTTGTGAAAGATTTACCTCTGCCAGAGCTGAAATACAAAAGCTCAGTGCAGAAGAACTGTTCAGTGAACCTCCAGATTTTGGAAAGCTGCGAGCACTACACACTACAGACAAGGAGGAAACACTGCATTCAGGAGAGCTACCACTAAAGACAAAAAAATGGAATTCATTCCCTGACATCACTCTCCAGTTCATCAGAACACTGAAGAACTACAAAGATGCCAGGGAAGGGAAAAGGTTAGTGATAAGCACACTCACCTAACACATTTCACAACTACTTATATTCACGCTTGGTGCAGGTGATGTGCAATTGGAGTTGTAAAGGAAAAGAGCACACATTCACCCATCTATGGAGTTAAAATGACCTAACACTAAATCAGATGGGCTCCTAACAAGATTTCACCAATTCAGCAGATTTATACAAAAGCTGGTTATATCCAGTATTAATGCTAGCTAACAAGCACTGACATCTTTTATTTCAATTAACTGAATACAAAGGAAAAATTAGCCGGATATGGTCGCATCTCAAGTCCCTTTAAGAGCTCCCAGGCTACTTGTTCTTTCCAAAAGCACAAACATTAGCATTACCTTTTGCTGCTTCAGACCGCTTAGGCAAATCAAGTGTATCAAAATTCCTGTCCAGATCTCCATTCTTCTTTCCTGTGCAAAAAAATAAGACAACAGATGCAAAAGACTGTCTGCATACTGACAGGTAAGCTGCTGTCATATGCATCTACAAGATGAGAGAAGATACTGCCTCAGAATATAAACCACAGACTATTACCCATATTTGTACATATCTGACTTGCAATCCAGCTGCATAGCTGTGGTTTTAGCATGAACAACTGAGGGACAAAAACCCATGCCTTCTGGTTTATCCACAAATAGGCTTAGCACTAGCATTTCAGTGGATCTTAAGGAGGCTTAAAATCTTGGAAAACCATGCCATTTCCCTTCTTGGCAAAGCTATGTCCCTCCCTCAGAAGCCCAATATTTACTTGTTATTTTCACAGCAGAATTTGGACCTGAAGCCTAGCTGAGGCAAAAATGAGCAGCACAGCAAAAAAACAACAGGCTTATTTTGCAGCCTCTCTTCTCATCTTGATTATAAGGCAGAATGGTCTAGATTTAATATATTGTACAGTAAGCAGCCAATAACATAACCTTGAATTGCCCTTCAATCAATAAAGTGCCATTTCGACTATTTAATAGTAACTAGTGGAAATCATTCCACGCTTTTGCTAAGAGACAGTTTCAAACCATTACATCATCTTTAACTTAGACAATCCTTCATAGAAAGCAGAACAAAACCTGGACTTCAGATTTAGTTATCTTGGAAATTCAAGGTTATAAAAAGATCTGGAGAAGGAAGAGTTTATCATCATCACCCCTCTTCTCCCCCCCAGGGAGACATAGTGCCTTGGGGAAGCCCACATGGATGCTGTGGGATAAGCAGGTGCCTTACCACCAGAGGAGTACTGACAGCAGGGAGAGAGATTTGGAAGGAAGCGCAGGAAACTGTATGGCTCCCGAGGACAGCAGTGTACAATTTAGCCTTCTCAAATGACTTTGAGGGGGAAAATGAAGTTTATTCCCTCTCCCTCAAGAGCAGGGGAGGCAGCAGGTGTGATGGGATGAATTCAGAACACAATTCAAGCTGCTGGAGATGGCTTCTGAACAGGGACTCTACCAGGTTGTTCAGGGAGGTTTACAGGAAGGGATGAAAGCTCCACCAGGCAGGATGCTTAAAAGCAAACAGGAAAATAGTCCTTGAAACCATAATGTGGAGATTATTCTGATTCTTGATTGGGAATAGGTCATGAAATGGGAAGGGCCACTCCCTGCCCTGTTCCAGCAGGAAACCAAAACAGCTTCTGTGCAGTGAATTCAACAGGACACTCTACCCTGCCTCTTGACAAAGGGATTAACACATGCAGTACTAAACAGAGAAGAAAAAGAGCTTTTAAATACCAACATGAATATTTAGAAATAACATCAAGAGGAAAAAAACAGAACTCAAGGTAGTATTTCATCCCTTTTCTTGGAAATATCACACACTTGTTTTGAAATGTCAACACAGAATAGCAGCCAACTTTAAGTATTGTGCAAAACAAAACATGCATGTAGGTGTTCCGTTAATCTGAAGTCGTTAGCTTAAAGTACGAAAAAGCCCATCTAAGCTGCCAGAAGGTGATGCAGCCAGGTACCCTGCCACTCCTTTGGAAGATACCTTTTCTGAAGGAAGGGACACCAAACAGCTGCACTCTGCAGCACGCTGTCAAGTTTTTGCTCCGTGAAAGCACGAGAAACACGTTGCTTATGGAATAAAATACAAGATAGAAAACTATGCTGTGCATCACCAAAGGACACTGCATTTCATAACAGCAGCTGAACCCAGTTCACTGGCTGCAAACCCTTGTTGACCCTTAAGAGTACTGACAGGAAAAAGCAGGGCAGAGGGAGGGGGGAAAAAAAAGGCACAGTGAAGGAAGTTAGTGTTTAGAAAAGATTACAGACTTAGGGCAGACCAATAAATATGACTCCATCTTATCTACGAGAAGGATAAACTGTTTTTTCACATGACCCTAAATTTCAGGTCTCTGGCACTAACTAGTTTAAACCTCAGGACATTTACTTGGAGAGTCAGAGCTTATTGGACACAACTGCTCATTTCAGAAGTTCTCTCCATAATTTAAAGGTTGGGGTGCGGTACTTGGATCAGCCCTGCAGAACTGAGATGGAACAGTAAGAGCTCCTTCTTTCTAGTGCAGTGCCTAATAAGCAGTATGTATCTGTGCACAACTTTTTAAGGACAAGATTGTCCAGGAGAGCAGTGCTGGCTGCTACATCTTTTGAGCTGGCAATGCAGAGGCAGCTGCCTAGTACGGAACCATCTTTCACCAGGACAGCTCACACCACTCATGCTCTGGGATATCCAGTCGCTGCCTCCCAGTTTCTGGGCCTGACTTCAAAAACTGGTCATCATCTATGAAGCCTTTGCTAGGTTTGTCTGTCAGATGTCTCTCTGAGAAATGAACCCATCTCACAGGCAAACCCACTTCTGTTCAAACCAGAAGCTGACAGCTATTCATGAACTGAAGCAATTCAGAACAGAACTCTGACAAAAGGGATTTCAGGTCTAAAATTTACTTAATCAAATTGAGCAAGGGCCAGGTTCCTAAGTACCCAAAGCACCTACATTTTCCAGGGCTTTCCTGGATAAAGAAGGTGACTGAGATGTAAGAAGACTCCAAGGAAATCCATCTAGAAGGCAAAGATTTCCATCTGTAGCCCAGCTGGTATTTTTCTCCATTTGATTTTCACAGGCCCCACAAATATTGGTTTGGAGTTTCTAAAAAGGTGACCAAATTTAGCAAGATCAAGAGCCTACCAGCTACAAACCTCCTGGCCATCCCATGGCCCGACTGGTATCGGAGAACCAGCTCCACTTCCAGCTTCTGTAGCTCTGAGCACCATAACTCAAGGCTGTCAGTAACACTAGTGCACAGGGATGGTGAAATAACCACACTAGCAGTAGAAGTTTTAGACCCTGTTTTTGCACACTGTGGCTTCTGGTCCTCTGTGCATCTCCCTGCTCTCCAAATCCTCCAGCATGAGGTATGCCAGAGACAAGACTATGCCACTGGATAAAAAGCAGAGCTCCTAACTTTGCCCAGAGACAGACAGCTTTGAACACACCTGCTGACAGGTCTGTTTTACCACACCTGGCTGTAGGAATTTGCAGAGCACTCTGGTTTGGGAAAACTGCATGACATGAGACTTGCTTGTGCAGGATGCAATTTACAGTCTTTGCAACAGTGGGATTAAAATTCTTCCCCTCTCCCCCCCCCCCACCTCCTTTTCATTATGTAAGGAACAACCAAAACATGACCTTTGGCATTTTCAATCTGTCAGAAACTCAGTATGGACTTCGAAGTGTGACCCAGAATTATTAACCACTAACGTTGTTGATCTTCCTCAAATGACATTTTGCTTTACCTGATAATCAGAACAGCTATTCCCATTTTTGCTGAAGGATTAATTCCCAAACACTTTCTTTCTGGTCAAAAAAGAGTTGAAAGGGAAGAGATTCTTCATAACACTCCCCCCGACTCCTCCCCAGCAGTCGATGCTGTGCTGGTTTGGGACCAGACTGCAGTGCAGCATCAGAAAGCGAGGGCTGAGCTCTGTCTTGCTAACGTGCCCATCCTCCACAGGCTCACCAGTCAGTCTGAAACCAGTGTCTCTCAGAAGACTACTGAGCACCAGTTGTTGGGTGGAGCAATGAGATTTCTTCCCAGCATTCCTCCTTTGAAGCCCTTCAAAACCTGTTGAGCTGAAGCAAGTGTCACAAACTGAAGATGACCCTCCCTTTATGCCCCAGTCAGCCTCAGTAACACAACAAAGTCTCCAGGGCACCCGTGGCCTAACAACTTCCCAACTGGGAAGTGAAGGAGGCAAACTTTAAACTCAGCCTTGTGCATTCCAATTGCAGGTTTACTTACTGTGCTGGGATGAAAAACTAAAGGGCATATCCTCTGGGGCTTTTACTAGGGGTAGTTTCATCTAGCTAGTCTTAGTGTCAGTAATAAAGATGCAGCAGCCCAAGCATGCGTCCCCGTGCAGACAAAATATCCCCGAGAATACATATCAGAGCTGCTGAGTCTTCATGGCTTCCACTACCCAGACCAGCTAGCCAAGCTGTACTTTGATGTGACTGGCCTGGAGAGACAGCTTGCACGCTTTGGTGTTCCCTCTCTCATGGGGTGATCAGGCCTGTTGCAAACCAATTCCCTTACTGTGCTTACACCAGGAATGAATAAAACCTTGTATATTCTATTTCCATTGTGGGAAGACTGAACTGCAAATGCTCACTCAATTAGAGGATTTCCATGCCTACTGAAATGGACAGGAGTATGGCACTGGGGGAGCAGAGGAGGAGGTGAATGAGCAGGACCTTGATCTCAGCTCTTAGCCTTGCACGTAAGAGATGAACAAAGCATATTACGGTGAAGATGAAAAGAAAGTATTGCAAAGACTCACCTTGATTGAACCACTCCTCTAATTACCAGAAAAGCAGCAAAAGAAAAACAAAAATTTACAGGAAGGAAGAAAATACAAAAGAACAGTCACAAAGAGGCAGAATTTCACAGAACAGGCTCAAAACCTGAGTACTACTGTGCAACTTTCATCAGTTAAAAAACCAAACTAAAATACTCTCCCTCTTGTTCCTGCTAAAAAAAAACAAAAAACAAAAAACAAAAAACAAAAAAAAAAAAAACACAAAAAAACCAAACCAAAACAAAACCCACAATCTTTCTCTGCACAGTTTTTCTTCCTTTCATTACATGAAAAGGTGTTCACAGAATTGAGGGGACAGAAGAATGACTAGGCCTCTGCAGAGGTGTTTGAAATGCTATGATCAATGACCATGAAATAAAATAAACATGGAAACACTGCAAGATTAAGTGAACAAGGGGAGAGAACTATCTATTTTAAAGTCCTAGACTGAGAAAATTTAGGTGGGTTCAGACCAGGTATTCACATAAACTTAACAGTGAGAAAAGGAAGATTCTTGTTATAATTTTAAAAGGACATTTATTATGGACTTTTATTTCTAGTTGTTTAACCACAATGGTTGCCTGTCCCCCTCTATCCTTCTGATCTACATACTACCTGCTGTGAGCTCAGCATTATTACCACTTGATTTCCCTCTAGAGCATACTTTAAGAAAAGCACTGCAAAAAGGGAGAAAAATACATTTAAACATACTTTGGAAACTGTCATTTCCTGCTGCACACACAAAGCCAAACACACAGGCTGCCACTGAGTGCCCGTGTTGCTAGTTGAAATCCACGGGGTCATCCTCCACATCAGATAATTTTGAGACCAATTTGTCCCAGAAGACACGATCAGATGCTTTGGCTGATACACAGAAGCTATCAGGACATACAGACACAGAGGTGTGTGTGTATATATATATAGGTCAGCCCCAGAGGAAAGAGGCAGCCACCTGACAATGGACAGCCACCTGAGAGTGCTCTCTTTTCACTGGCATCAAGAGGAGGATGACAGTTCTCAATCAGCACAACCCTCCTCCTACAGTGCACATTCAGAGCTTTTAAGTCTAAAATTGTTTTCACTGTGTTGCTCTCAAGCAGCAAAACAACAGGGACTGCAAGTGGCAGGGAACAGGCTCGAGTCAGCACATGTTCAAGGTTTCAAAAGGATATCACACTGAAGTTTCAGTTATCCACTGTGAGAACAGGCTGGCCAGCCAAGCAGGTAAAATATTTTCCTCAGTTTTTCCTCCAGTCACTAGAATAATCCCATCAATTTTTAACTTTATGTTAAACACAGTTTAAATCCAGTTGATGACAGACTAGTCTGCAGAATCAAGTTCACACCTCGATGACCTCCCTAACACGTACAGAAGCACATCACATCTTCACAACATGTACAGGTCTGGGTTCAAACAACTCCATATCGGCTCACCAGGACAAAAACCTTCCTTACACCTGGCTATAAGTTAGGATCTGAGTACACATGAATGAGGAGAAGAGAGCCTCTGAAAATGGAGTTAATTATCCCCGAATTCAGTCTACAACAGTAATTTCTCTAAAACAACAAAGCAAACAGATATAATTTGAGCGTCTCTTTCTAAAGTAAAGATGGAAGGGGGGGTTACTGAGACCATTAATCCTCTCTTGTAGTCCAACTCATTTGCAACACTCATGCCCCAGAGGAGAGAACAGGTTTAAAAGTGACAGAATTAAAAGCAGCAAAATCATGTTTGCAATTTAAATTACCAGAAGAGTGACAGAATTGGAAGGTTCTATGTTTTGGTTGTGAGTGGGAGGGTAGGCCTTTAGTTTGTCTTCCAATCTGAGACTGGAGGCATGGAAGACATACAGAGAGGACTACCATGCACTGGGGTGAATGCATGCTGGCCTGGCTTCCAGGGGCCGGGGGACAGGTTAGACAGCCAAGCAACTGGATCAGGCGTTGATTTGACAGATGCAAGAACACAGCAACACAGAGGAGAGAGGCAGAGCACATCCACCTTTGTCCAGCAGCAGCAGCATCTGTCAGCATGCACCAGTCCTAAAGACAAACAAAACTAGCAATCGTGGAAAAAATTCCCAAATACCTAGTAGTAATGCAGCAAGAGAAGTGAATACATGCCACGACACTACAAACACAAACTTCCACAAACTGCATCATTCTAAACCAGGATGATGAACATGCTTGCAAAAGCAGGCCTACACAGCCAAATTACCCCTAAATCCATTTCCAGTTCTGTGCTCTAACACATACCTTTAGCCTTTTTTCCACCAAAACAACCAGCATCATCTTTCTTCTTCTTCTGAGAGCCTCCCGTGCTTGTAGTCAGACTGGCATCTAGTTCTTGATACTTATCAGCCCCGGGGACCTCTTTGTGGACGTGATAGGAAAGGTTCCGCATGATGCACACGCAGTTCTCCACAGACTGTTACAGAAAAATTGATACTGTAAGCATTGCACCATCTTATTTGCAAACCATTGTATTATGCAGTAGAGCGTTAGGGGGGACATAAAAAAATCCACCTGCTCCAGGAAAAGAATGTAACTTTCAAGGAAGATTTAGTTAAGACCCCTTAAATTAAGGTTAATTCTTGCTTTAAAACCAATTTTATTCTTCCAAAAGTGAAGCGCGTCATAAATAGCACTCATTCAAAATGAAAACTCTCTAATCAAAAGTATCACCTGATCTTACATAAAGACTACAGTTCACCAGAAGATCAAACACAGCAGAAAACGATCATATAAGAATCTTATTTTAATACAAGCCTCTCTCTCATTCTTCCAACCTTTAAAATCCCCAAGGGGCCCATTTTATTAAATTTTCTCTGGGTCAAAAGCTCAGCCTTGTGAGGATTTCAATGAGAACACACATTGTCCTGCAGTAGTAGCTAATCCGTAGCACATCAGGTTCTGACAAGAGCAATACTCTGTAGGTTGCAATGGAAACCACCAGGTGGTTACAAAATCCACTTCCAAAATTATCTGATTAAGTGACAGGGCTTTGTAATTCCCTTGTACAGTCCATCACATGGTGAGATTCAAAAAGAAAGAAATAACAATGCTTTACAAGCCTTACTGGTATTATAAAGCAATAGTATGCTTTTACTTTTTTAAACAGGTTAAACTTAAGGCATTCTTTATCCATATAAATATAATTTTAAGCAGCACAGAATGACATGATGATAATAAAAACACATTAATCAAAATCTACACAAAAACCCACAATGAAAGCAGTGCAGGTCTGAAGGCATATCTTAATGTCTAAATATTAGAGTCTTTACAGATGATGCTGAATAAGCCTATAAGATACCGACTCCTTTGCTGATACTGTGCAAAACACAATACAATGAGACAATTCTGATTTGGACACTGCACTTAAAGACATCAATTAAGTAATGCAAAACAATAGTGATGATGTCACTCATTGCCAATAATAAAGGGCTACTCTCCCTACCTACTACAACCTTTTGCCTTTGCTCACCTCAGCCACACAAGGTAACACAGCAGCATCATGCTGAAGCCCCACCAATTAGTACCTTGTATATCATGACAGAGATGAGGGGAGGATAATTACTGTACTTTCCAAGGCAAGCATAATTCCCTTTTGACACTAGCACAGAAGACGGATCCCAGCGCAACACTTCAGTCTAAATTAATGGAAACATCCATTAGGTTTTAATCCTCAAGTTCACCTTATTGTCTGTATCCTTCTTGCCAACTGCAGACTGTAAAGCATGAAGAAGGGCATCCACCAAGCCATCACACTCTCTTAGTCTTCTGCGTGCTTCTGCTCCATCTGAACTCACATTCCTAACAGGAGAGATTTAAAAGAAAATTCAGCCTTCTAACCTACACCATAAAGTTGAAGGTGTGTCGATTTATACTACAATTATTAAGAACTCATTTCCTTGGATGAACAATTTGGAGGCAAAGTAGTCTGACAAACCTATCAGTAAAATATGGGCAATGCACATCTGCAGCTCCCCGAGTCTGAATGAAAAGGAGCACACAGTCAGAAGTGCCCACAAACACATTTTTCTGAGTTGCTGGTGACTCCAGTGGTACACCTTAAACTGGACAGTTTTCTCAGCAAACAATACACAAACCAAAATAATTAATTTCAAAGACAGAACTTTTTATCTGAAAAAATACTTTTACCACCTTAAGAAACACAGGCCAAATCACAAGACTGCTCAGCAGTATTCAAGACCAAAGACCATAGAAACTGAAAATTAAATAAGATTAAACCAGGTGTATTATAAGCTTTTTTTTTTAATATAAAACTGTTCTTCACTTTCCTTGGCCTCTGTCTGCTCTAAAGAAGTCAGATGGGAGTCGCCATGTACAACTGCTCTATCCTTGACTGCTCAAAAGTTCTCCAAATCTTTTCAATATCCCTACCTTTCTGACTGGAAATAACTGCTGCCCAGTTTAAATCCCACATTTTGACATTTAGAGCCCACCTTTCACACTGTACACAGATTCAGCATCAGAGGCTGGACCAGTCACATTTAGAAAGCAAAAGACAACAATCAGTATGTCTATATGGCAATAAATTTCTCAAAACATTGCACAGGAGAATGGCACAGATAGAAGATGGGAGACAGCAGTGAAAAGCTACTTGGAGCTGTTACCAGTTGCATGTATCAATGACTGCAGAAATTGTTAGAGGGGAGCTATGAACTTAACCTCATTTGTCCAGTAAGCATGCACACTACGCACTGAAGCCCCAGCCTTGTATATGCATCAAACTGCCACTATCTAATAAATAAATAAAATTCAAGTCCATTTTCCAAATGCCACCTTTAAATATTTACCCTCTTTTAAAAATTGTATTTTTTAGGGGGAGAACAAAGTGACAAAATGATTCATTGCACTCACTGGCAAAACCTATATGGAAAGTCTTCCCAGAACTGCAATGCACCGATTTCACCACCACCACAGCCAACCCTTCAGGGTCTTTGAATTCCCCAGACCCGATGTAAGGTTAGCTCACAAAAGCTCAGGACACAATCATTACCTTCTACTATGAGGAGCGTGCAGCTAATTTTTCACTAACTAGAGGGACTGCCAATCTCCAAGCAATTAACAAATCAATCATGGTCCCCTCCCATGTCCCCCATCACCCAGGCAGGCTGGTATGTTAATTGGATGACTAGGAAAAAACTTCACATTTTCTCAGAGACCTCTCAAACTCTGAAGACAATTGTGAGCTGGTTTCTGTAACAGCACATTAACTTTCAATTAAGAACACAAATGAAATGCACAGATAAATGAGTTCTTTCCCCAAATACTAACACACAGCCTCACCTCCAATAATAACTGATACAAGGCAGGTAAAGTGGATATTAAAATATGATTCCACGGAATATATGGAGGAGAGAATTCTACATGCTCTTTTCCATCTCCAGTTGTACTAATCCTTTCCTATCAAAAGCCCAAATGTGAATTTTCATGTAAAGTCTTTATTAAACTGAAATTAGAATTCAAATTCTCTGTGATACCTTTCAGGAGTTATAACAATAAATGATTGCAGCTCCACCTCCAAGAACATCTATTAAAGTGGAACATTACTCCTTATGCTTGAGGAAGACAGAAATGTCCTAAAAAAGGTCTTAGCTGAAGCTGTGTATCACATTTCTTATTCCCCAAGTCTTAGAAAAGGAGAGCTAAAATAGTAAGGAACACTTGCAGACTCAAAAAAAAAAAAAAAAAAAGAAATCAAGTTGTCTCAAAAAAAACCCAAACCCTTCACATCTTTCTTCTTCCATGGCCCATTCAGAAGAGATTTTTCTATGGTGAATTTGTGCTACCACACCTTCTAGCACATGTGTTTTACTGCTTTAGTTATCAACAGCACCAGAGTATTTTATATCCTGCTTTCTAATTCCTTGATGTGTGTTAGGGTTAAGGTAGAGCTTGATACAGTTATAATTGAAAAAGATACTATAGATACTATCAGTAAGAGTGTGGCTCGCTGATATCACTTGCCGTGTCTTGAATTATAGAAAAAATTACTCAAAATTAATGCCTCAAGAAAAAATTCCCACATATCACACAAATAAGCATGATAACTCTGCAGCATCAAATGAATAACAAATTAACGCAATGAGCAAGTTATACAGACACCAAACTTTGCAGTTTTAATGTTGTAACTAACACATCAGAAAACAGATCCTTATGAGCACCTCATGGAGAAACATCTGCTCTATACATATCCTTCACTCTGGGGGCTCTGCTCACCCTCCCTCCTTGGGTTATGATACTCCTGCAGCCCAGGGATTTACCTAACATGGAACAACACAACTCCTTCCTTTGTCTCTAACTATCACCCAGACCTGCAGGAGAGCTCAGCTCACATTCTTCTCCGCAGAAGTGTAGGCAACACCAAACTCAAAAAGACCAAGCCCAGGGAGATCAGCACCCACGTCACAGTCTGCTCTTTTTGCTTGCTGCTCCAACACTGCAAAGGGCAGCAAAAACTTTCCAGTTCCCCTGGGAACATTTGCATTTCAGTTACACGCACAAGTATGCCAAACACCCCTAAGCACTAAGTAGAGGCAGGCAAAGTGAAAATGAGGACAGTATGCTTTGAGTAAGTTCTCGTCTGGCAATCCCAAAAAGAAGTGCTCCCAGAGTGGGTTTCCATGATCCAGAGTAACCACCAAAAGCTCCTGCAACCCAGGAAAATGCCAGCTTGCATTTCTGCCTCAGAGCATTAAGACTTCATACTACCTACCTCAGACAAATCCACAACTTGGGTCTTCAGGAGGGACTGCAGCATGGATATGAAACTGATTATTACATGGACAGTAGAGCTAGTGCTGGTCATTAACAAGGACAGAAACTGCAATGGAGTAGCCAACCTGGTAACACACTCCACTGATCAGGGTTAGGAAACATCTCTTCCAATTTCCCCGTGTGCACTGGAATAGTTCTTGATGCACCTTACAGACCTATTACACATTATGGAATAAAAGATAAGTAAATCGTGTTCCAAAGGACACTTCTGCAGCAAAGTTTCCAAGCACGCTCCTCTCAGGAGCGTCGACAGTCGGCAGACCCGCGGCAGGCCCCGGGCCCCCTCCGGCAGAGGCCGAGGCCGTGTGGTTGTCCTGCAGCGGGCGCCACGCCGCAGCCTCGCCTAGGGCAGCAGCCTCCTGAGACTCCTGCAGCAGACACTCAGCGTACCCTACCCAGGCTTGGAAAACACAGAGCTTTGCTTTTCACTGAACTCTTCTACACATTGGACAAGCATTGTTTTCTGTCAGAAAACTAATCCTTCAGCAGCTTGAGTGTCTGACACAAGACACTGAATAGAAAAAGAAGGCAAAGCCCTAGCTGAGGCACTTGTTAACTCTGTTACTTAGGAGCTAGGCTGCCACGCAACAACTGGAACTGCCCAAACATCTTGGAATTAAACACATTATCTCAGTGACTTGTTTGCTGGGGCATTTTAATACAAAGAGCTTCTACCAATGAAGTCAAAGATACTTTTAAAGTCTGCACAACTTGAAATAGGAATTCTGTAAGGGCTTTTGAGACACTGATTATGGGCAAAATCCTGTTATAAAGGAAAATAAAGTTAACTGCCTGTTCAAATGGGTGGGAAAGGGGAGGAGAATCTACCTGAACTACTTCTACACAAGACGGTGACAAATGATACCCGACTTTCATCTCTGGTGTTCTGGACAGTATGCTTCCCTTGTCTCCTCGCACCCAAAGAGACCTCTGCTGCTTTCCCTGAATTCACCTACTTTTCAGTACTTTTCCAAGAGTACATTAAATGAAAAATATATTCTAAAGTCAACAATAGTATCTTTTTTACATCATCCTGCAAAAGGTAACAAAGTTTACCATAAATATGTACAACACCACACACAAAAACGCAATTCTAGGAGCAAGATGTGGAATTACTGTCTATGTTAATCAAAGCACATATAGGAAGGAAACCAACTTTATAACTGAGTTTATGTAAAAAAGTAAGGCACAAATCTCATTCCAGAGACTTTTGAATCTCCATCCTTTAGCTGGAAAAAGCAATCTCAATTCTTCCTCAAATTCTTGGGAGACCAGGCTTTAGACTAGACTAGTGAAAGAGGATTTGTAGGGATGTTCAAACGTATGCTTTCCCTGGGAAAATAAAACATAGGAGCACTAAGTAAACGTTAAAGAAAAGTAAATACCTACCAGCACAGAAGCACATCAGGCTAGGAATCCAGTGTGCTGGTATTAAAGACTCCAGGAAATGGCAGGGAATGTGCTGAGAAACCTGTTCATGCTTTATATAAGGTCAACATTATCACCAAATAGTCATCTTAATAATAGGCAAGTCGGAATGTAACACCTAAGTCTGCAGAACAGAGCTGGTATTCATCACCTCTAAGATAGGTGAGCTGTTACTACTATCTACACCACACATCAGAATTATCCCCAAGAGAAAAGATTTTAAAATAATTAAATGCATAGCACTTCATTTGCACTATTTCCATGCAAATCATGTAGCAATGCCCCCACTGTGCTCTATCTGAAAGAGAGAGCTCTTGGCTGGTTAAGTTTTCTGTGATTTTTTTTTTTTTTTTAAACAATAAAGAGAAACTTGAAAATACCAGCATGAAGAATACACATTTCTTCTCTGAACATGAAAACTAATATTTCCAAGACTATTGCTATGTCTGCCACCTGGCTGGAAAGAGCCATCAGTTGTTATCCCACAGTGCTGCAGATGAAGCTGAAAGCCATAGGTTAGAGTATTACTGAACACTTACCAATCCACTTCAGATCAGGAGGTGTAAAAAGCACTTTGTTTA